AGTGATCAGTGTGCTCTGTTTTTTTTTTTTTTTTTTTTTTTTTTTTTGGCATTACAAAGATTCTTTGGCTTCCTGAGGGTCAAGTGGGCGTTGCAGACATGCAGGTTGGAGGCTTTATGCTGTGCTTCTTTTAATCGCATAGCCTGCTGAGGCTTCGCCTCTGTGGTACCAGGTATGAAGTGTAGTGCTTTGGAGGGTGATGAGGGTGCTGCCAAGACTGGAGTTAGTATTCCTGCATCAGGCACTGTGCAGCAGGCTCTCAGAACTGGTCAGACTCCTTCGGAGAACTCAAACATGTATTGCACCAGATGTTGGGTGTCTGCTCATGTGACATCAGTGAGCAGCAGTTATAGGGCCTCAAGAAGAAATACCTGCCACTAAGAGAGGAGGGGAATTACGTGTCCCACATATATCCTCCCAGTCCAAACTTGGTAGGAATTAAAACACTGTCAGTGGGAGAGTGGGCTGGAAAGAGAAGGGACTCTTCTACTTCTTCATTCTAACACTGGTGGTGAGGAGAGCAGAGTGTCTTGAGACAGGTGACCTGAGTGGTGTTAATGATTTTAAGTGACTAGAAAATAAGGACTGTGTGACATCACTAATGGGCAGGGAAGAGCTCTGTGTTACAGAACATGATTAAAGCCTCATAAATGCCTAAAACATACAGAACTGAACCTATGCAGAGCTGAACCCACCCTGGCCTCCTGTAAACCTCTTCCTTCCATCTCTTCTGGATCAGCAAATGGTACCATTTGTTTGAGTGCTTAGGCCCCAGACTTAGCAATAAACCTTAGATTTTTTCCCTTTTAAGCTTCATTTCATCACAACAGCAGGCCCTGTTGGCTCAGCCTCCAAATGAAATGGAATCCAAACACTTTTATCTGTCTACTTGGTGCCTCCCTCACTTTCAGTTTAGGTCAGTTTAACAGCTCCTCCTGTCTCTTTTCCACTCTTGTCACTCTAGACTTGTTAATTCCACCGTTAGATGGAGTAACCCTTTAAAACCTTAAACCTGTTACTCCCCTGGCCAGGTCCTCCAGTTAATTCTCATCATGCTTAGAATAACGTTCAAGTTTCACCAAGCATTACTGGGCCTCACACAGCCTAGCTCCTTTATTGAAGCTTGTGAAGTGTCACAAATATGGTGCTGAATTTCTTCATGGATTTCCACAAATTTCTGTAGTTTATTTTGTGAATATTTTATATAGATACCCCAGGTTGTGGTTGATGTGGTGGCCATGCACACTGCACAGGCAACATATTTCTAGCAGGGGTCTGCACTCTGGACAGCTTTAGGTCTGGGCCAGTTTAGAAGGCTCTGTTTTCGTTTCTAGGGCAGAAAGGTGAAGGTATTTTGATTCCTGTCCAAAGATAGGTCATCTGTTTTTCTGCTCTTAGTTTTACTTGGGATAACCCAATTCCAGTCCTTTATCACATTGGCTGCCATCATTTTTTTTTTTTTTTTGTACCAGGAACTCAGGACTTTGCACTTTCCAGGCAGGCGCTTGTGCCTCTGAGCTATGTCCCGAGCTCTTTTAGCTACCTGCTATCTTGGAGCAGATCTTCAAGCTCTAGTTCTGTTTCTGAGGCAAAACACATTTCTTTCCTCAGCCGAACTTTTTCCTCAAAGTTATTTCTCTATTCAGCTTGTGGCTCTTTGACTCTGTGTAACATCCCTCCCCCTCAATTTTATATTTAAGCTTGGCTATGTATTTCTATTTAAAAAATACTAACCACGACTAAACTAGTGAAATAGAAAGTGGCACAGTTCCCAGTTACTTTGGTATACCTTTTCCTCTTCTGTCTTTTTGTATTATTATATCTTTCCTGCCCATTCTCTCAAATGCATCCACTAAAAAGGATACTATTCAGTTTAGATTCTGCCTTGTAATTTCCAGCTTCAAAACCAGCAATCTCTTCTGTTGACCTCAGGTGAGCCATTGCCTCTGTTCTGATTGCAAAGAGTCTGCCCAATCATGAGCAAGTGCAGTTTGCATTTTTATGTTTGGGGCTGCACTACTGACTCTATGTTTTCGTCTGTGTAGTGAGAATATTTAGCTGATCAGCTCCATTGCTCAGCACTCAGAAAAGGTATGTGGATGGGACTTTAGGGGGACACTAGCTTATTCTAAATCAACCGCTCCAGTTCTCTCCAGACTCAAGTGCTGATCCTTTGTCCTAATGTTGAAATTACTAAAATGCTATTATTGTGAAAATTAAACTCAGAGTGTACTTAGATCAAAGTGGAGTTGTATAGTCATGCTTATAGTCTGTCATAATAATCCATCTTATTTCATAATATTCTTTAGTTGTTTTGTTGACATATGCCAGATTAGTCTTTCTTTTAACCAGTATTTTCTAGAATGCAAGAGGTAATACAGGAACCAGAGAAGAATGGGAAACATCGCTTTAACAGAAGTGAAATGAAGGGGACTAAAGAGAACCAACGTAGAGAAACAGATGTCATACTTACTTGTGGGTATCACAGGTAAATCTAAAAAAGAAAATTAAATGCCAGTGATTTGTATGAAAGAAACAAGATTCCCTTTGGGGAGGTATATTTGTATAGGAGGAGACTTGTTAGGCACACAGCTCTGGGTTTGAGTGATGGCTCTAGGACAGTGTTTCTGAGCAAGTATCTACCTACTTGTTATGCCTAACAAAAGGATTAGTTAAGTTACTCTATGAATTAAGTTGGGTAACATCATTAAAATACCTGCATTGTTATTAAGGAAGTGTAAAGAAAATATGTGCTTAAAATTAAGTAAATGTAAGCTTCCTTCCTAAGATGAAGCTAGAAGCGGGAATGTAAAGGAAATTGGAAGCCATATGTCTCAGATTACTGAACACAAATTAAACATGAGCAAGGAAAGGACGAATTTCTAGGTTCAGTAGAGAATAGTAACAACAAACAACAGTGTAAAAGTGAACAAAACTTACTGCTGCTCTGTGTTGAAGATGAACCAGCTGAAAAACAGAGAAGTAGCTTAGCAATGGTTATCTTTCCCACTGTTTATTTTTTACTTCCATTTAGGGAAACCTTTCCCTTTGGTATTGACTTTTTTTTTTTTCCTCCAGAACAGGAGATTGAACTCAGTCCCTTGCACTTTCCAGGCAAGTGCTTATTCTACTGAGTTATCTCCCTGGCCCTGGTATTTACTTTTAATGGGAATCAACAGCTCAAGTGTTCAAAAAGTCACCAGTAGCTTCGTGAAATTTTGATGATAGGAAGATGGCAAATGGTTAAAGTGATATGTACCCCAAGCCCACTATGTCAGGGAAAGAGATTCTGGGAACCCACAGTGTTGGAAGCAAGAACTTACTGACGGCAAGTGGAGCTGATCCCACTGGTGGGAAGAACAGAGGAAATTGTTATCGTGTTTTTCTTTCTTCCTTGTTGAGTTTTTAATTTTGGCAAGTCACATTGTTTTACATTGCTGAGAAAAGCTCTCTTATAAGTCAACAGTTTGATTTTTCCATAAAGTTATTCAAAAGCTGAGAGAATTATGGGTAATGTGAAAGCAAGACATCAAGGAGAGAGAAACTGCAAGCTCCATATTTTCCACTGATATTTTGCAATTCACGTATGGACAGACTAAGTAGGATGGGGGCTAAATGAACAACAAATGCATAAGCTTTTTATTCTCTTTTCTATCCTATTATTTTTTCTTTTTCTGTAGACAGTCTTTTTGATAACTATGTAGAAGATTTTTCTACTATGCATATTTTTATAAATCAGTGGTATTATACCTTTCTGTTACTGTACATCAGTAATAACCCTAGACAACTTTCAATAATGAGATAGCAAGAGACCAGGATGAACCTGCAGCCCTTTGTGTTCCAGATGAACATTAGTGGACCCTAACTGAGGCCAATCTATTCCTGTGGGATGGAATTAATGGGACTCACAGACTTACTGAATGTACCAGGTGGCGGTCCCACTGAAAAATAAATGGAAAGATCTATTAACCCCTCTTATGTCCAATTCACTTATTTTTTTCAGTTGGAAAATTTACTGTTGATAAAATTGCTTTAAAAGTTTTTTTCTGATCATAGGCATTTGAATTTTTCAGAAAAGTTAATAATTAGCTGTTGATAATGGAAAAGTAAAAGGTTAAGAAAACAGGACTTGCAAATTCCTTAATTATTTTCTAAGCTTTAATAACTGCACAGCAGAGAAACATAAATCTTATTAAATGCTTTTGTAGGTTTCCAGCTTGAAAATAGTTTGTATCACTCTACTCTAATTAATTTCCCATTCTATATGGAAAGTTATTTCATAATCTGTAGAACCATGGAGAAACATTTTTCTTGATTGTTTTATGTGAGTCAGAGTATGTTCTAGGAACTTCTGAATAACCTAGTGGAGTTGTGGGTAATGGAAAAATAAGGGAACAAACAAATTGGGTATTTAAACCATTGTATCCTAACATGCTTGGATAAGTCTGTGTGATCCTGCTGGAGACAGTTGACTTCCATCATGAAAGGAGACAGTCAGACTTACTAGTGGCTCCTGTACCTGAAAAACAGAGAAATCAGTGTGAATAGGATGATGACGCAGGCATGGTTTTCCTGTTTTCTTCTAATTTTTTAAAAAATTTTTGGCAGAACTGGGGATTGAACTCAGGTCCTTGTGCTTGCCAGGGAAGCACTTATTCCACTGAGCCATCTCCCCAGCCCCTTTCCTACTCTCTTCTAAGAGGGGACACCAGAATGTCAGTGGAGGGACCTTCAGGGAAGAACAGAGTGCTGTTCTGGAGAAGAGCCCACCACCATGGGTGTGTGTGTGTGTGGGAGAGTGTTTTCAGCTTTCTGTTTATTCTCCCAGCAAAGAGATGACTTTTTGTTCCCCCCCTTTTTCCAGTGACTGATAACTCCTTGAAATTCTGAGGACCAGTATTTTCTCTAAATTGTGCTGGTTATCTTTATTTGTTGATACAAATATCTATCTTCACATGTTGGCAACTTACTATAAACTTTGTGTAGTTTCATTTGATTTACTTTTGGTTGATAATTAACTGGAATTTATATTCTTCTCTATTCATTCCTTCTATCTATACCAATTAGATGGTGTAATAAAAATGAAGAGTTGGAGGACTATATGTTTTTACAAGATAGAAACAAGCAGAGAGGGAAAGGATCCCACACCCTGTAGGAAGCCAAAGGTAGCCATCATGAGAACAGGTGTGGAACTTACAGGTCATTTCTGATGTTTGAGCTGGTGGAAAAACAGAAATGGAAAAAAGAAGTCAGTGTTTATAGAACCAAGAGAACCCTGTTATCTCATGCTAGTCCTGAAAAGAATTAACTACAGGGAGGATGCAAGGGGCTGTAAAACCTGCCTGTGATCTCAGTGTAGTGCCTGAGCCTTAGAGCCCTTCTGTGTAGCTTCAGGCCTTCTTCTGCGGACTTAGGGCAGGAGAATGATTAAGTGATAAAGCAAGACTTTGTTCATCCTTTCATTCAGGAATGGTAAATACTTGAAATACTTCTACAGGTTCATAATGGCTGCAACTTGTAATTCTAAGTACCTATAAAGTCTCATCTTTAAACTTTTTCCTACCTGACCTTTCCATTGATTTGAAGAGTTTTTCTCCTCTCTTCTTCTACTAGGCTTGGTCAGAGCCACTAATTTTTGTTGTCTTTTTTTTTTTCTTTGTGGCTGGCCCAGCTCACCTTGGGGGCAGGGCCAGCAGCATGTGGTACCAGGGATCAAACCTCTAAGCCACTGTCCCTGCACTTGTCTAAGCTTGCCTGAGCAGGTACTTTAGATCCTTAAGCTATCTTGCCAGTCCCCTAAAGTCTTAATTTTTTTCCCATAATTTTGTTGATAAACAAATAGCAATGAGACAGTTTCAAATCAAATTGGTAGGACAGTTTCAATAATTCACACATTGCATACATTCTTCCTAGTGGTTAATTGCTGTACAAGATGCGGACATGATATCCTATTTACAAACACCATTAGAACAAATCATTCTATTCATTAAGAGAATGTAACTATATATCTATCCTAACCACTTTGAATACATAGATACAAAATGGACATTTAAAGTCTTAATTTTAATCAGTACATTTTCCGCTTTCTATTAACCACCAGTAATCTGTAGGAAATCTGGAAGGGACAAAAATAGCACTATACATCACTGTATTTTAAATGTTTATGGGTAGGTGATGCATAGTTGAAGTGGGGAGAATAAAGGGATGATTAAATCAGCCCATTGGCCCATATAGATTCCTGGTACGAGGTGTCTCTTAGGGGACTTTGGGCCACATAGAAACCTTCCTATAGCTCCAGTGAGATTCTTTGATGTGCCCTGGCTTAGATTTTTGCCCAAGCCCTATAAGAATTATGAGAAGTTCCAAGGTTGTTTTTTGAGGATAGTTAAAAGGGTACTGGCAGAGGCAGCTGTGATTCAGGGGAATAGTCAGTTAGAGGTGACTTTTATTCATTTATAAGAATATATTTACATTGGACTTTAGGGCAAAAATCCCATTTTAGTGGTGATGGTGGTCATGATTGTATGGGAAGCTGCCTGTTGCCTCTACTTTGTTTTCCCATGGTAACTTACAGGGCTGTGTACTCTGTGACACCAGCCAGGTCTCTCCCATTCTCTTGTTCAGGACTTTATCTTCAGTGCTCAGCTTACTACTTGATATTTGGTAGGAGCAGCTCAGCTAGTTGAAGGAATGTTTATTTGAGTACAACTGATTTGCCTTCTGATAATTTCTTCTTGGCCTGACTCAGAGTTTGGAGTGCTGTCACCTGATTTCTAGACTCAGAATTTCCCATATCCTAGGTTGGTTTTGACATGCTAAAGCTTGGTTCTGGTTCTTCTCTAGCTAGTCACACATAAACTTTTCTTTCACTGTCTTGCATGTATGGCCTGTGATTGCTTGGTGTAACTACTGAATTCTCTCTCTCTCTCTCTCTCTCTCTCTCTCTCTCTCTCTCTCTCTCTGTCTGTCTGTCTGTCTGTTTTTAAGTGAAGATTATCTGGGACTAAAGGATAAAATAGGGCAAATAGAACTTGAGGCAAGGTAAAGTTCTTAGAGAGGCAGGATAGAGAGCCCAGCATACACGACACTTTCAGTAGTATCCTGCGGCATCCTTACCTCAGAAAGTGGACAAAATTTCAGTCTTCTGAATTTATTTCCCTTTTATATTTATTTGTAAATTAGCTTTTCTTTTGTCATTTCCCTGCATTGTCTCTATTAGCTCTCTGTAGACCTTTTATAAACTACAGAGAACTTCAGAACTAGAAGGCTATCCCCTTATCATTTTTTCTCTGGTGCTTCTAAAATTGTTATAGAACTATTGTGGCTATTATTTGGAGAATTTTTAAAATTCTTTTTCTAAAAAACAAAACACTTCCCAAAAACAAAAATAGTGGAATATTCTCAGGTAGAAACTGTAAAAACCAAAATTTTTTTGTCCCCAGTGGTAAGGATTGAAACCAAGACCTTGCGAATTCTAGGCAAGTGCTCTACTACTAAGTTGTATTCCTAGCCCTGTAGCTACTCTTATAGCAGCAGACATAATTAGGATAGGGAACAGGCATTCTAAACAGAAGATCAGGGAATACCAGATAGAAAATACCAGACAAAGAACTTACCTCTGTGTCCCGTATATTGTACTAAAAGTAGAAATAAATGTAGTTGTTTAATGTAAAACAATCTCAATTAAATTTGATTAGGGTTAACTTTTTTACCACACAGATGCTATATATAGCCTCTTTGTAAGAACCTAATCCTCCCATAGGAGACTTGTTACATTGGTTTAGTTAGAAGGAAAGATAATTGCTTCATTCTTGCTGTTCATTATAGGTGCTGGAGGTGTCTTTTTTTAAAAAATGTATTTAGTACAGGATCTACAGGGTCTCATTACACAGATAGGACTTGTAGTGAGCCTTCCTGTTTTTCAGCTTCCCAAGTGCTGGAATTACAGGTGTGTGCCGCCATGCCCAGTCTCAGTTGGCTGCCTCAGCGCACCACGGGGATGGGGGCCAGCACGGAATGCCTGGTCCCTGTATCTGCCTAGGCAGGTGCCTTAATCTGATGAGCCATCTGGCCAGCCCTGGAGGTGTCATTCTTAGTGATATTGCTTTCCCCATCTTTCTTTATTCTCCCCCCCCCACTTTACTTTTCTCTCATTCTCTCAGCCATCTCTGTTTTTCTGTCTTGCTCATTTCCTACATTCTCCCCACATTCTATTTCATCTTTGCTTTGGAAGCTTCTAAGTGATTACTGATACATTATAATTATTTTTAGAGAAAAATCATACCTATTATGAATTTTAAGGTAATGAGATTTCTATTTTTAAAACTACTATTGGTTATTCAGGGAGCTAGTATATAAAGAAATGAAAGGTCATGAAACATGATTTTTCAGTCTCTTTAACCCACCAATGTAAACAGTTTGAGTTGAAGTCCTTCAGACATAGTAGGAAGCCATTAGATGAGCTTTTGTATATAAATATAGGCAACTTACCAATAGGCCCTGGAGTTTGCACTAAAAAGAAATCCAGATGGGCATATTAGTATGGTTATTATGTTGAACATTTAAAAATATTTTTTTGAGTGGGGTTTTGAGAGGTAAAGTAGGGGAGAGGAAGTGAAATCATATGAGCTCATTAGAAAACAGAAAATTTAAGATCATCAGAGAGAATTTTATCAATGTAGGGGGTATTAGAGGAAAATAAAATTGTGTATTTTCTCTTCTGGTCAGGAACAGAAAATACTAGTTTCTCTATAGTCTATCCCTCTACTGAAATCTTTTGTTTTTCACCAACCAATATATCGCCTATATGTAGGCATGACGGTTGGTGCTATGAATCTGGCTGCTTCTTACACCTTCTAGCTTTTTAGGGACTAACGGTGGCTACTGTTTTGATTGGTTTTAAAATCTGAGCAGAAAAAAAATCAACAAAACCTTAGTTTTTAATGAGAATTTGACCTCCAGTAGATTTTTCTCACTCTGATCTCATGGTTACTTGATACAGATTGGAAGTCTATTATGTTACTTAGCAACATTGCTTTTTTTTTTTTGGCTTTATTTTTTTTTCTAGATTTTATTTTATTGAGAAGCAAATATGAATGAGACAGTTTCAAAGGTGGTTCATAGGACAGTTTCAATAATCAATACATTGTACATTGTTATCTTCTTAGTGGTTACCCATAGTACAAGAAGCAGACAGGATATTCTGTCCTAACACTATTAATACACATCTTTCTTCTCATTGAATTAAGTGAAAGTAGCTGTATATCTATTTTGTATATCCTATTTTGTACGTACAAATACAAAATGTTCTTTCCTTTGTATCCCCTTTTTTTTTTGTTTAGTCCTGTCAGAGGTGGGTATTCTATTGGCATCTAAATACTGTGGATGCTTGAATTCAGCAAAAACAATCCAACACTGTCCAGCAGTCTATAATAGTAGTGGGTTATCCTCAGAAGTTATTGACTTAAGCCTTTTACAGCTCATCATATTAATATGGCACCTTGTTTTTATACTTTTTTGCTGGATGATTAAGACCAAGATAAAGCAAGTCCTATATAACAAGAAATGTAACTTTTGTATCTGATAAGGTCAGTCACGTACCCTCAGGATTTATCCTGTAGCCCTGTACTGCACTTTGTAGATCCTTTGTCAGTGTCAGCCATGAGGATGAGTCATGACCATTGCTTGACCAGTTTGCTCTCTGTGAAAGCTGAGAGAATGTTTTCTCTCCATATGACTCTCCCCAGGCACACTCTACATCATTGATCACATTTCTCTGTGGCTCCATAATCTCCTTGGTCAGAAAATTTGGGGCACAACTAAGCTACGTGATGTTACAGTACAGGTTCTCCTATGTCCCGAGTCTTCACTGACCTTGAAAGGCTAGGGCCAAAATGTTGGCTGACCTTGGAGCCCTTCCTTTTCTCCAATTTTTGATATGCTAACTTAGATTGTTAACCCTCCAGAAGAGAAGCTTATTATTAACCTGCAATATATACAGTTCAGTTTACCCTATCTGTCTAAATACCAAACGTCTTAGGCATATCATGGAACAGGTATTTTCCATCAAGTATTGATATGTTGAACTTTAAGTCCTTACAGAATATGAAAGAAAAATAATTAAAAAAACTAGACATAAGCATTTACATATTTTTACAAGAAATTTAGAAATCTAACCATATACAGATTTGTAGCAGGCCAGACCTGTGACTTTCTCTTTTTTGCTTTAAACAATTTATTTAACTGAAATGGACTTTCATTTGTTTCTGAAGTGACTTCCATTTATTTTGATACATCTTTTCCCCATGATGATTTACAGGATCTTCAAGCTAATATAAATATTTTATAATATTTGAATATTTGGGTATACACCTGCACAATACCTCAGCAGTGTCTTTCAGCAAGAAAAACACTGAAGAGTAAAGACTAGACACAATTACTAGGTACAATGAAAATCTGTTGCAAATATTTCTGAGCTAAGAAGGCACAACATACCTGTTCAACTAAGAAAACCACTCTTACAACACAGGATGATTTTATTTTTATGTAGTACCTAGAAGACTTAAGCTACCAATTAGGTACTGAATGGCAAAGCAACATTCTCAGTTTTTGCCATGAATTCATAGGGAATAGTTCCAATAACTCAGATTCTTTTCCATTGGTCCTCACAAAGTATGATTCTCTGGGAGGGGCAGGCTGGTGCTTCAGTTGAACCCAGTACATTTCTCTTTGGCTTCCTTCTTTTTCGACCATTTTCCTTGACACGTTTCAGGAAGCTATCACAACTTTTTGAGTGCTTAGTATGCTCAATACACACAAGTATCTTGGCAAGTATCTTGCCCTTAACTTGCTTGTTTACAATGATACCAACAGCATGCTGGGTAATGTTGTAGACTCTTGCCTTTTTGTCATGGTAACATTTGTGAGGAATTCCTTTTTGCATAGTACCCATTCCCTTGATGTCTACAACATCACCCTTTTTGTACATTTGCATGTATGTGGCCAAAGGGACAATGCCATGTTTTCTAAAAGGCCTGGAAAGCATATACTGGGTTCCCCTCCTCTTGCTCTTGTGTTAGTCATTTTGGAAAATTACTGGAAGATGGTGGTTCTGACTGAAAAGTGCAACATTACTTAGTTGAGAATGATCATTGATTGTTCCCAAACTGAGAGACCTGTAAGAACCTGTTAAGTTTTTTTTTTTTTTTTTTTTTTTTTATTTTTTTTAGTGCAGGATCTATAGTGTGTTCAGGGTCTTACTACTAGATTGGACTCATAGTAACTCTCTTGTTTACAGCCTCCCAAGCTCTGGGAGTACAGGCGCGCATCACCAGGCCCAGTCTCAATCACTGTCTCAGTGTGCCCCTGGGGTAGGGCTGGCACAGCAGGCCCAGGGAAAGCAATAATTTTGACTTTTGATAGTGTAGCCACCCATGTAACAGGGCATATTCCATATGTGATCCTTACAGGTTATGCATGTAGAGTTCTAATAGAGGGTCTTGGCTTTCGAGGGACCTCGAGGGGCTTCTAAGCCAGGGCAGCTCATCTGAGGGCAAACCATAGAGAATGGTTCTTTCTGTGTGGGTGCCTGAACAGGCCACTGTGGGAACTGTTCTAGCAGACGAGCTGCCCAGGTGGATGCTTCCTCCTGCCTGTGGTCCTTCTTAGTAGGCTGGTGCAGAAGGAGGGCTATGACAATCTTGATCTGATGATCAGGTTAATCTAAAAAGATCCTCAACTCGGGGGGCCTGGCCCTAGCTCAGGCCTCTAAGCGGCTGCTTCCACAAAGCTCTCAGCCTCAGGTTGCTGGAGTTACAACCTCACAACTCTCCCGCTGGCCAAAAGTGCCCTGAAGCCATTCGAGGAACAAAAAAAAAAAAAAAAAAAAAAATCCTCGACTCAAGGGCACTGCAGTCTTTTCCTCAGCCCCTCACTCATGGAGCTCATGATGGAGACTCCCAGATCTGACACATCACCCTTAAATTCTTATTTATTTATTTATTTTTTAGGGGTGTGTGTGTGTGTGTGTGGCCAGCTCAGCCCACCAGGGGGTGGGGCTGGCTGGCATGTGGTGCTGGGGGATTGAACCACGGTCCCTGTGCTTTTTTGCTAAGCTTGTTTTAAGTAGGTTTTTAGACCACTGAGCCATCTCACCAGCCCAACATCACCCTTAAATTCTTAATGGCAGAATTTTTTATATTCTGTGTGAAATGGCTAGAAAGTGTTTTGCCAGATCTGCGTATACTGGGCTAAGAATAATAGGCAGAAATTCAGCTATTTTGTGAAATACTTGCTTTAGCTTTACATATAAATATTATCTATAAATATATGCCCTTGGTCTTGAAGAAGAGCTGTTCGGTAGCTACCCTCTCAACATAAGTCAGTAACTTTGGAATTCAAGTTTTTTTTTTTTAAGTTTTCCTATATTACTTTCTCCCTTATACATTCTGAATTTGTGAATTTTTGTACACCTTATTTATTTTCTCAGGTTTATGTTTATTTACTCTTCCTTTATTCTTTCTTCTCCTCTTTGGGAGTCCATGTAATTATTGTTCTTTTACTTTCCCTCCCCCTGCTGTGGTATTGGGGATTGAACCTATTGCCTTTGTACTGAGCTACACTCCCGGCCCTTTTATTTATTTATTTTTTTAAATTTTGAAACAGGGTTTGATTAAGTTGTTAAGTTGCCCAGGCTGGACTCAAACTTGTGATCCCCTTGCTTCAGCCTCCCAGACGTTGTTCACATCTGACTTGTTTTTAATTTTTTATTTCCTTCCATGTTTTCTTTTTTTAAAAATTAATATTATTGAGAAAGAAATAGCAATAAGATATTTTCAAAAGAGGTTAGTAGGACAGTTACAATAATTAATACATTGCATATTGTTGTCTTCATAATAGTTACTCATAATACAAGATGCAGATATGATATCTCGTCTCAGCAGTATTAGTACAAATCTTCTCATTGAGCTAAGAGAAAGTAGCTTTATATCTATCCTAATTATTTTGTGTATACATATATATATATATTTTTTTTTCATTACAAAATGGTCCTTCATTTATATCCCCCCTTTTTTGTTTGGTTTTGTCAGAGATGGGTATAATTCCATTGCCATTCAAATACTGTAGATGCGTCCTTCCATGTTTTCTCTTTAATCAGCATCTTCATTTTCTTTCTTTCTTTTTTTTTTTAGCATATTCATTTTCTGTGTTTCACTTTTTGTGTTGCTTTTCTCCTCCTTCCCCTGCTCTCCCAGGCCTTTTTTTCCTTTTGGTGCTGCCAATCGAACTCAGGCTCTTGTGCTGCCAGGCAGGCGCTGTGCCTCTGAACTATACCCCTGCTCTCCCCGCAGGCCTTTTTTCCTTCTTGATTTCTAATATTATTGTATTCACTGTTAATAGCTCCCTGTAATGCTCAAAAGTGAGAGTGGACACAACTATCAATAAAACTACAATCCCAACTTCATTATTAATTACTCTAAAAATAGTTATAACACCTGCCTTACCTCACTATTGGAATGTTGTATAGGTCCAAAAATAATTTAATTATGAACAATTGCAATTTGGAACCTAACCATTATTTGTAATGTTTCTATGGAAACAGGTAGTGGGACAATTTGTTAAAAGTTGGTGAAAATAAAACTTACCTGTTATGGAGAGAACTTTTCAGAAAAATTACAAATGAAAAGACACTTAAAATTTGCATTATCTTAGTAAAGATCTAAAAATGAAAAATAATATTTGCACATAAATCAAGGTTAGGTGCAGTATTCTAAGTCTATTAAATATTGGCTATAGAGAAGTAAATGGAGGTAGCTCAGGAAGGACCATGCCTTTAGGGAGTTATTTTTTTCATTCTGTATTTCATCTTCATAGTTACTATCTTTTTATTGTAGCACCTGGGTGATTCCAACCTATGGGAGTTCTGGGTGGGATAATGAGGCAGTGGAAGCACTTGATCTTTCCATCTGTGGGCATCAATTATTGAAATGAAATAGATGACATTCTGAAAAGGACCAAAAGTCATTATAACTGAGACTTAGATGACTTACCAATGGTTTTTTGAGAGAGCTCTGGAAAAAAATGTAAAACAAGTCAGTAAATGTTTTCAGACTCTGGAGACCATAATTTTCATTCATGTTTCCCCTAACAAGAGCATGCACCACTAAACTCAAGCTGCAGTTGGGTGATTGATGTTCTTACTGGGCATGCGTTGGCAAGCATACGCACAGAGGCTTTTTCATCTGACAGATTCACTGAATAGATAGGCAGCAAAGTAGGTAGGTAATAGTAGAAATACAAAGTACTATGTAGTACTAAGTAGTACACCACAGATAGTAAGTAAAAATCAACTCTTTGGTCCATTTAAATCTCTGTAGAGAATTAGAAAAATGCCTTTTCATTTAAAGTTTATAATTTTCTTTTCTTCATTATTTCACTTTTCATCTCACTGTTTTTTTTTTTTTTAAAGTCCTTTGTGTGATGTCTGAAGTCATCTGCAAGGGTTTAGCCTGGACTTTGGTGTGACATTCATCAGAGAAATTTACGTTCATAAAATCACTAATGATCTTCTGAAATGCCAGGCAGACAAAAACCAAAAGGCAAGGAAAATATGAACTTCAGCTTTGAAATCTCTACATGGAAACCTAAGATACTTTAAGAAATTATAGTCTTTTGGGCCAGCCAGATAGCTCAGTGGATTAGAGCACTTGCTTAGGCAGACACAAAGGCTGGGAGTTTTATCCCCTGGAATGCTGTGCTGCCCTGGCCCCCAGTGCACGCTGAGATGGCGATTGAGACTGGGCGTCATGGTGCCCACCTGTAATCCCAGCACTAAAGGGAGGCTGTAAACAGGAGGATCACTATGAGTCTGATCTATGCAGTAAGACCCTGAACACCCTGTCCTAAATAAAAAAAGAAAGAAATTACAGTGTTTCAAATGGAGAATTAAACAGCAAACTTACTGATAGATCCCACAAACTTACTGATAGGTCCAGTAGCTCCAGCTGAGAGGGACATAGGGAGGAAGGAAAGAGAGAGGGAGAGAAGGAGAGAAAGCATCATTATGTATCACTACCAGGAAGGAAGTACTTTGTCCCCCAACACTCACGCTAGAGAGATTATCATACATGGAAACTGGGAGTATCAAGGGTTGGCTTGTAAATGGTAGTCTTGCATGAGCTTCCTGCTGTACAACGTAAGGTCATGTAAGAATGGAGGCCTTCTCTTGTTTTTCAGTGATGGTTGGCACCCTTCAGAGGATTGAGGAAGTTGCACTCCATATTGTTTTTCAACATACATATTTTTTCTTCTTATATTTCATGTCATTTTGTTAGAGACCTATGGTTTGAAACTATGCCTTCTCTTGCTGGGTCATTATGAATGCCTCTAAGAGGACACTTTTATCTTGTTTCCTACTTTTTTATGCCAGCCTGTGGTATTTGTGGGCACTCTACTTTATGAACAGCCTCTTTGGAAACTGTATAATAAGAATACTAGAGGAATTGCAAAACGTGATGTTAAGAAAATAGGGCAGGCAGATAAATTCCCAAAACCTTGTAGGTCAGATATGAAAGGGACCAGAGTAGAGAAACAAACTTGGTACTTACGAATAGGTGCTGTGAATTGCACTGAAATATAAAAATGGAAAAAATCAGTCTGGCTTGATATTAATAGAATTCCCTTGCCACCAATATTCTTTGTAAAGAAACTATGAAGTAACTACCAGAAGGAGGACAACTAATACAAAGACTATTGAACATTTAATGGTGAGCCCCCATACTCTTCCCATCAGATCAAGTCAGGCAGCATCCATAACTGAGAAATTTAAGTAATTAAAAATATAAATAATAAAAAATGAAAGAAATGCAAATATGAATTATTTAATCTTTCTTTTTCGTAAACTTAGTGACAATTAAGGATATTTTGTCCTATGTCCTGGGCATCAGGTAGTTTCAGATTTGAGTACAATAAAAAAAATGAGTGGGAAATCCTACAAGTATAGGGATAGAAACAAGTAAATCCAGAGAGGGTGCCAGATCTCACAGAAAAAAGCTAAAGAGTACAAAAATGAGGAAACAATAAAAGGAACTCACTTATAGGTCCAATAGCTCCACCTAAAATATTGGAAAAACAACAATTCATTAGTATAGTTCTTTATATAGGAAAATACAGTTTGCATTGGAATTCTTTCTGGCAAAACATTAGGAATACGGATACCAGGAGCAAAATTTTCACTTCAGTGGAGTAAAAATGAAGTTTATAAATACTTCAATCCTTACATCTTGCGGGGGGGCTGATTGCTACTGGCTGGGATATGGCAGGTGGAGCTGCAAGGATCCCAGATTGGGATGAGATTAATTAATGGCAGTTTGGGACTCATGTCACACCACTGAAACTCTTAAGTAGACCGGACTGGAACAGCCATCATCAGTCTTCTTCATCTGAGTGTTACTGGGCTTTCAAGAAGAGGAACTTTCCTACCTTTCTCTTAATCTTTTTTAGGTCCTTAACACTTTATCTTAATGAGCCTCAAGATTTTGGAAATCTTATGTACTAGTAGTACTTTCTTATAGAGGCATTCCAGTTATTCAGGTAAGAGCAGAGAATGAAGAAGGGGACAGGACTGACAGTTTGTGCAGGAGGAAATAAAAATTTATTAATATGTGTGCTTTGTATATTCTAGAACTGTAGTAAAGCAAAACATCTGAAAATTAAAGTATAGAAAAAACTTACTGATAGATCCTGGAGTGCCGGCTAAAATGCAAACAGAAAAAGTAAGTCTGGGTAGTTATTTCAGTGTTTCATATCAAGCATTTTCACATTTTAAATTTACATGGAAAGTCAGCAAAATAGTATTTGGATTTGCTCTTCGTTCTTTTGGTAACTGATAACTTCATATTCCTTGCAGTTTCTCTTGTTCTCAATTTTCATGTATTTTGTCAAATATTTCTACATGTGTATTAAAATTTTTTTTTTCTGTTTTGTGTTACTGAGCATTGAACTCAAGACCCTGTACTTGCCAGGCAGACAGTTATTCTACTGAGCTATGTCCCTGGATCTACACATGTGATTTTTAAAAATTAAGTTTATTGGCACAATTTAGATGTACATAACAATCATATTTATCATAGAGAATTTTTACCTGTATATAATGTATCTTTTATTTTTATTTTTTTTACTATTTTCTTTTCTGGTACTGGGAATTGAACTCGGCCTTGCACTTGCTAGGCAGGCACTGCACTGCTGAGCTGCATCCCCAGTCCTTAATATATCTTGATTCTTTTTTCTCTAAACCCCTCTCCCCACTTTATCTCCTCTTCCCCTCCTTATTTACAAAGCTTTGTTTTCATTTTATCCTTTTATTGTAGTTTTCTTTTTCCTTTTTTCACACATTTGTTTCTGATAAATGTGTTAGATAGAAATATATTTGTTTGTCTAATCTCAGAATTTGTCCTATATGTTTTAATGAGTTAATTTCATTTTTAATAGTTTTTCCTTTGCTAGATAAAAAATTAGTTCATTAGGAAAGCTTGAAACTAGCCTCAAGGGCAAAGGAAGGGGGAGAATACAGTAAAATAGCAACCATTTCTTCTTTCCTCCATCTTAATCTAAGTCTTTTCTTCATCACTTTCCCAGCCTCCCAATTAAAGGTATTTTATAGAAGATAAAGGGAATAATTAAGTTGTAATTATGGGAGACTTACATAGAGGTTGAGTTGCTTTTAAACATTGTGCATCACCTATAATAAAGATTGACAAATATAATCTTACAATTTATACTATAGAATGAACACAGGCACCTCCCCCCAGTTGTGAGGTACAAACAGTCTAGAGGTTAAAACATCCAAGTCAAAAGGACAAGTTACTGAGTTGAGGAGGAGGACAGGAGAGGGAGTGGGGGAAAGAGATTTATCTATGTGTGTAAGTAGGATGGTTTGGACAACTGTACTCTGCATTTCTGCTGGTCTGTGGAAAGAAGCAGTTAATGCTTTAATTTGTTTTGTCTCTTTTTTTCAATTGTACTTCTTTCTTTTAAATTTCTTATTCCAACTTTACATGCATATATATAATAATATGAATAACTGGTTGGAAGACAACACCATATTACAACAAATATTGTGCAGTTCATATTACTTTTTTTAAAAAGTATATATATATTTATTTGTGTGTGTGTGTGTGTGTGTGTGTGTGTGTGTGTGGTGCCAGCTCAGCCCACCAGGGGCCGAGGCTGGCTGGCATGTGGTGCTGGGGGATTGAACCGTGGTCCCTGTGCTTTGCTAAGCTTGTTCTAAGTAGGTGCTT